AAACTTAATCTAAACAACATTCATATTAAAATAAATACATAACAACAAATTCGTTACACCACCTTCTTACAATATCTCGATGTCATGTAAACTATTATGGTTTAATTTAGATAAACTTTCCTTTAATCTCACAACCGAGCTGTTCAATGTAACATGTTCATGTAAATGAAATAAAAAATGAACATTGATATACTGGAATCGCTAGCACCCAAAAGCATATGCGATTGAGGCCTTAACATTTTCAATTATAAAGTTGAGAAGCAAAATTTAAAATAACGCGAAAGCACCATTTCAGTTAATTAATAGTTTACAATTTGGAGTACTGTGGTATTGGTTTAAATTTTTCTTCACCTGTAACTATAGAGCTGGTGATTTCATTGTTTTTGTGTATCTATACATAGACAGATAAATTGAGGCCGACCAACTAACCGACAGAAAAGCATTTTTGACGTAACTTCAGATGTTTAACCAGAACAAACACCGAACTAACTCAAGTAAGCTCTGACACCGTCTACAAAACTTCCTCTGCGATTTCATTAACGAAAATGGTGCTTTACTGGACTCTTCTGCTTCAAATTTCCCAAGGAAACTCAATAGTTCGTCTGTGTGCTTAGTTTTAGTAAAAACTATTAAATATCAAGTCCGATAAAGTTCTAACATTCGTCTGCTTTGTAAAGTGTCAGGTTTTTTTTAAGCGCTTGTCAAGGTCTTGTTTGACGCCTTCACGTCGGGTGTTGTAGTATGCTCTTCTTATAGCCACAGCAGACTTGCCTTCATTGTGTGACGGGCATGCTCGATCTTGTGAGTAAAAACAAGATTACCATGGATGTATTTTCAATCCTAGAAGCCTTGAGGCAACACTCAAGTCATGGACTTTAAAGCCTTTCTACGTCTAAACCCTACTTCACAGAGGTAGAGTGGAGCTTACGCAAACGTTTTCCAACCGTTCATTTTCTGCCGTCACAGTGAATGTTGATCTGAGTCCACAAATTGAATTTCACCGGTGTCCTAGCACTGGATAACGTAATTGAGGGGGAGCTTTCATATTTTCATTTTGATGATAATCTGATTATATTACCAGCTCTCCACACGGGAGTCAGAATTAAGCATGTGTAGTGCCATGAGAATACATCTAAAAGACGGAATACGTAAAAGCCTTCGTGTTAACACTAACGTGCTTGTCGGTACAAAGGAAAATTTTTTTCTTCTCTCGAACATACCTAAGTATAGTGAAGCCAACGTCTCGATGGTTCGATAAACTCGCGTATGAAACCTATTGAATTCTTTTTTTATAATATTAATAACAACACATGAATTCACCATAACGAACCACAAGTTTAATTGATACTGTATTTCTCCATTATAAAATAACTTCAAGATCAGCAGCTGGTCATTAAGAATATTTCTTGTCACGATGCAATCTATCAATTTCAAGCTACTAATGAAAGTTTATTTTAAAACATCAAATAATCCATACTGCACGTTGTTTTGAAACTCGGCGCGTTTCCTATGCGGCAATAATGAAATGTCGTCGTCATCACATAAATACATCAGTGTTTCAGGATATTTTCAAATACATAGATCAACATCATTTAATGCCATAACATTTTCAGTTACATCAAACATTACATGATATCATGATATTTTCAAATACATAGATGAACATTATTACTTGATAACACGACATTTTCAAATACATCGAACGTCATGCGGTGTTACGAAAATTTTATAATAAGAACTTCTGAATGCAAGTAAAGTAGTTTATAATAATATATCAACTACACTATATCTGATACATTCAGTGCTGACTAATCTATCAATGCCTTATAATGTCATGAAATTTTCAAATACCCCCATCACTGTCATGTGAAGTTAATGCTTTTTAATACAACACCATGTAATGTGATGTTATTTTGAAACTAAGGATATAACTTGTGTATTTCAACTTTACCAAACGAAACCAAACCCAATGAATCATTGTTCGAAAACACCTAAAGTAATTCTAATGCGGACATTTCAAGTTTAATTGTAACGTCCTTGACGTAAATTTGTAACAATGGTTATTCGTAATTCCTTTTAACTGTCATTAAAGCATCACAACATGTTTCAGTACAGGTTTCTGTCGAATTTTTTGTTCCATAATCGAAACTGTCCAAAATCTCTTACAGATCCAAAAATATGACATTTTAAGAGTGTATTGAGGTTTATGGTTTACCTAAAGTTCCCTGTTTTTTTGTCATAATTTTTTTTATTAGTTTCTGATACAGCATATATTTCTCACACATCTCCGTATCTCGTAACAAGCGAGAAATATGCTCCAAGCTCATTATATTTTTTCCAACAAATTTAGGTGATCCACACATGAAACGTATTAAATATTACAGCAACAACAACAAATAAATTTAAAATTTAACGATTACCATGCCAACTACGAATTTCAGCAAGCATAAACGCCGTGGTACTAAACGAAGAATTTAGCAAACTTGCCAGGGTATAACTGAAGTTGTGGAAAGACCAACGAACCTCTCAAAGACAAGGACAAACTTAGGTAGGAATTTACAAATTTTCTTCTTAAAATAATTATATAAAACAAAATTGTAGCTTTTCTGACCACAAACGTTGTACTCACATAGCTGTATAGTTTTTTTAACACGTGTTCTTTCAGGCAAACGACTGGTTATTTGTATGAAAACATTTTCACATGACATTGAATAAGTCAATAATATTATCATTGTCGAAAGTTAAACATGAAATTCATACAGTGACATTGAAATATTATCAGTTTTTAAGATTATTAAATAAAACTTACCGCTGAAGAACTAGTGTATGGAATTTGATTTGGTCGAACAGACTGAAAGTCAATACATTGTTTGGTTTCCAGTGATAACCATCTAGGGGAGCTGCGATCTGTAAATGACCATGTGGCATTCTGACAAGCTGCTTTAATAGTGCACCTGTTATGAAAAGTATTTAATGAATGGAGTTTTTTGGAGCAAGGATAAAAGTTATACAAAAAACCTTAACTCAAGACTGTAAATACATATATTTGATGTATATGAACATGGATGTTTTCCCCATTTCCTCTAGCCAACAAATATTTAAAAATGTAATATAAAAAAAAAGACGACAATGGCTTTAAGTAACCGCACACTTAAAACAAATTTAAGAATAATTGTAATTTATAACATTTTATGCCACAAGACTGCAAAATCACTTGAGTCTACTATAAAATTAGGTATCTGATGATCTGCTATGTGATCTGAAAGATGAATGGTGATGAATGGTCATTCATCCTATACACTTGTAAGCGAACATTTTGGCATAAGTGATTTTTCATCTTTATAGCTCATGACGTCTTTGCAAGCAACAAGGACTGCCTGGCATTGAAGTCAAATCAGATAGTTGATAGAGTTCTGCGATATCTTCGACCACTTTTCAGAAAGAACTAGTTTCTACGCATCTTCAGTGTTTAGAGTCCAGGGAGTGTGTAGGCCACTTCATTCGCCGAATCCCCTCTTAATCAAAAAATATATCGACCGGTGGAGTAGGCATCACCATCATCCACCAAAATCTGACAGCATAAAGAGTCGCAAGATGTGGTTGCTATAATTTGTGGAATTAATGATGCCATTCCACAGGATGTAAAGGTCGGTATGTCCATCACTACGTATTTCTTCATACGTCTTGCTCCCAAATACAGACATTTGCGGTATGGTTCTATATGAAAATAAGGTTATGTTCAATCCCAGATACTCTTTAAATGAGTGCGCACCTCTTATCTGACTGCAGGGTGAAGTGTGATTCATTTGTTAAAAAATAATTATTGCGTCAGCCCACTGGACATGTTCTTGGAATCATTAAAAGCGAGCTGTTGTTTTGCCTGTGATTGGAATGCACCTCTCTGGATGTCTTGTATACAAATTGTTTTTAACCGTTCATACATTGTCACGTCTAGTTACAGTTGAGAAGATATCATTTAGCCTCTAAGCAGGTACTCTACACATATTATGAACCTAAGACAAGCGGTTCTCTGTTTGTTTGGCGGATGAAGGTCTGCTCCACGAGTGAAAAGTCTGAACTTTTTCTTTGAAATTGAGCTCTGATTCATGAACACACTATATCATATTAACCTTTGTTAGTTACTTGAAAGTGACCAATTATCCACGACTGTGTTTATTTATTTATTTATTTTTATAATTGAGTTTCGCGCAAAGCTACACGATGGCTAGCTATCTACGATAGGTGTCCTTAATTTTGAAGTGATTGATTTCGTTAAAGGCAGCTAGTGAACACCACCAAATGCCAACTCTCGAGTTGCTCTTGTCAAAATGAATTGTGGGGATTTGACCGTCACTCTTATAACTCACCAATGGTTTCAAAGCTTGAAGTGAATTTTTCTTTCTTTTTTGGCGGTAATGAGACACAAACCAAGGAACCTCAGATCCATAGTTCTGCACGCTAACCACTGAGCCGCGCTCGGCTCGATTGTGCGACATGACTAAATGTAGCTGGATGATCACTTGAATTTAAGATCACGAAATACTCGATTTGCACAACAATATAATTTTGACTGACTAACACGATTTTAACATGTGGTCTTGTCTCTTGATAAATAAAATATTACAAACTCTGATTATTCTTTAATTGTTTTGTGTAGTGCACATAAAATTGTATGACTGTATACTTTAAATTTGCAGATCTTATATAAAACGCAGATTGGAGTGTGTGTTTTCTTATAGCAAAGCCACATCGGGCAATCTACTGTGTCCGCCGAGAGGAATCGAACCCCTGATTTTAGCGTAATAAATCCGAAGATTAACCGCTGTCCAATAGGGTGACAACGCAGATCGGCATTCATTCTATGTGCAATATACTTCTTTTGTTTTAGACGTTATGAGATGTATCAGAATTGCTGAAATTTTTTCAGAATACACTCTTATGATTTTTACAAGTTTTAAATCACTTGAATATTTACAATAAAAATGTTTAATACGTGATTTCACCAAGTTGTTTAGCGTAAATCCTAAATTAATTTTCTATTTTGTTTCGCTACATTTTATGGTATTATATAAAAACAGTTATTAGATACTGGGCACTCACCTGCGTTCCAAGGAACACCATCCACAGTACGGGTTCTTTTTCTGCAGGCACTCTGCACAAGTGTTGTATTGTTCACATATCCGTAGCTTGAGCTTACTCACCTAGAAAATTTGTTTTATTAATAATCAGATTAATCAATACCATTCAGCTACCCTGCTAATCCCAGTCACATTTTTTATAAGGCTTCTCCTACTATTAGTAGTATGCACCTGGTTTCACGATTACATGAAAGGGTTAAATGGATATTGTTATCCGTCTGAACGTATACAGTGCACTCAGAATCGTGATTTCTTAAAGTCAAAATCAAAACTTAACTGTTTGTTAATTAACATGAAAATATAATGGTAATAAACATACTTTTTATGTACTTTAGGTATAGTATATCATATATCATCATGTTCCGGAATGCTTTACGTTGAATTAATATAGAGGTTTATTTTTTGAAACAAATGTCGATCAACTTACAATTATTAATGAAATCTATTTATTGAAAACATAAAAGCAGTAGAAAGCAATAACAAAAACGGCTGATCAATTTTATTAGTGCAAAGTATTTTATGGTTTGTTTTCGTTTGGTGGTTTCATATGTTTGTCACGAAAGAAGATAAGAGAAGTATATTTATTTATATTCTGTGGTTGAATAGGAAAGGACATCACAACATTCGGTCACTAAACCAATATTATCCAGTTCAGTTATGCAGCGCAATGAAAATATTCGGTTTCACTTCGTGTAATTAAACCAAACATTACAATCGGTTTCGGTTCAGTTCGATAAAATAAAAAAAAACTAAAATATTCAGGTTCGGTTTGGTGAATTTCATTTCCCTTTTAGTTTGTTTGACAGCAAAATGTCGTTTCACAAAGTATGGCATCTTGAAATTTCAACAACTCAAGTGCATGGCAAATTTAAGATTTTATTAAACTATAATACATTCACTGTTAAATCACTCAGTTATTTTTTTATTTATGTTCATGTAAATAGAAAAAAAAAACTTTACACATACATACTGTATTCTGAATTATCGTTTATTCATAAAAGTAAAAAAATACGTGTTGTTATTAAAATTCCAGTAATTTTGATTGTTACTATTATTTTATCTATAAAAATTAATCAAACTAATACATACAGCAAATTACATAGGTTTAAAATAAAGTATTATAGATCCTTCATATTCATGCTTCTATTTCTGTTTACAGCTGCAAGATCGAGGATGCGTTAATAAAAACTTAATGAAACACTTAAGTTTTATATTGTATGAAATTACAAACAAAGGACACGAACACAATAGTTTCGTTTCTTAAGAGATGTTTGTTTGTGTGTTTGCGGCGATTAAAAAGAATAATAGACACGACTAAATTTCTACTTTAAAAATAAATTGTTGGTCTTGGTTTCAATCTTAATACGTTTCTCGCATACAGTTTTGAGAAATAAAATATGACAAGCAAAATGGCAGATCAGACGTAAATTTGCATACAGTTCTGAGAAATAAAGTATGACAAGCAAAATGGCAGATCAGACGTAAATTTGCATACAGTTCTGAGAAATAAAGTATGACAAGCAAAATGGCAGATCTGAGGTAAACTTATAAATTCTTCAGAGTAATTTAGAATTGTATTAAACTGTTATACATTCATATCTAAAAATATTCAGTTATTTTTGTATTTTATATTTTCGTGAAACATACGCCACATTGGAAAGATAATCGTATCCATCAACTTACTGAAATATCTTGTTACATTTACTAAATACTTCACAATAAAAATATGTCCGATTTCGGTTCGGTGTAATGAAAATATGACTGCGAAGAATCCAGGATAACTTAAACCACATGATAGTGTTTACAAAGAAAGATTTAAAGAGCTTATTATATGGGATAAAAACTTTTATAAAACAATTAGACTCACGCAGTAAAGAGTTTAGTAAGATAAAAATTTCTATGAGTGCAAACCTTGTAAGGAGACGATACATAAAGGTGCCCTTTTGTTGAGTCCAGATGTAGACTAGGAATTATGGGATAGCCAGAATCCACTACTATTTCTTCAAACTCTTCGGCTTTAATGGAGTTACTGATAAAAAGCTGTAATAGATAATAAATTAAGAATCAAACATAATTATCATCATTCAGGATGAAACTAGAAACAAAAGGCCCATTAAGCTAACAACCCACTGTTTTGAAAGACACAACAGAATTACGAATTAGATACTCTGGAAAGTTCAACTCAAAACAAAAACGCTAAGTATACTGAAAAGATTAAATCAGACATGAAAAGACGACACGTTGACGTGATATACACAGGTCCTTCTAGATCCATTGAAAGTGATCTTTACAAAATAAGTCTTTGTTCTCACGCAACTTTGTTTAATTTTTTTTTTCAGGAATCTTGATTGACTACATCACAGATCCTTGTTTTAAGTTACACAAAGCTGTGCAACTTAGTTCCATAAATAACGTATGAAGCAACTTTTTTAAATAATAAAGAATAAATAGTTTTAGAAAAAGAGAAAACAAATCTGGGAGAAAATCGATGGATAATTGACCAAAACAGTAAATATCTGAGAAAAACTTGTGGCTGAGAACAAAGAATTAATGTGACATCGTAGCACAAAATAATCTTTATTGAAAGTTATTATTATTAAGGCCAAATATTCGTGTATTATTGTTAGGTGTAGAAGTTTTCATTCCATAATAAACTTTAACATTGCATATGTGAACAATAAGACCCACATTTATCCAGCAGGATATTCTGGACAAATCATATCTACCTATCGGAAGTGTATATATACACACACATACACGCAACCGTTTAAAGAACCACACGAACCGAGCGGATATCTATGTTCGTACATGTATCACGAATACTGTCACTGACGGATGACAAGAGAATGAAAAGATGAAACACGTCAAGGGAGTTAGTTAATACGCATTCATTGTACTGGCCTACCTTTTTGAGACTCCCGTTGCTAGTACCTGCAAAAGCCACGGTATGTTGATCAGTAGTTGCCAGTCCTACCGATGTCAACGTCGTGTCCGAGTAAGTAACAGCGGCAGGTTGTTGGATGGGTATGGTGCCGTTCAACTTGATTGTCTCATTACAGAAGTTTAGAATATTTCCCGCTTTCTGAAAATACACACACACTATATATTTCACATTTCTAATTGCTACAAAAACCCTATCTGATCCTATTGTCACCAATAACATTATTAAAACTACGAAACACTTTTGCTTTAATTATAAATAAGAAATAAAATGCACAACGAATTCTCCCATTATCCTAGAAGTTTACACAACAATGCAAAAAAAAATAAAAATTCTAATAGTTGGCCTGAAACTGCATATTCGATCAAGGCATATTAACGTTGTCGAAAATCTTTCGGAACCAAAATGCTCTAATCTAGCCGAATGAAGAAGATCACATCTCTTCATATTTGATTTATAATTCACGTGTCTGTTGGTACAGTGCTAGATTTGAAAATTACAAACTACAATCTTTTGAACACTGCATAACTAGGGTAATAATACAGATTTATCAATTTTACGGGAATAACACCGAAAAACATAATATACGCTTAAAAGTATGTTCTCCCACACATAATTAATTTATTGAAATAGTAACGTTGTTTTAAAAACGATGTTTCTTAATACAAATTCTTTGAAATTTCTTCTAATCTCATTACCTTGGGGATAATTTTCGTTTGTTTTACTCCTTGCAACTCTGTTTTTTAAACGTTTTTGATTTTTTTCCGAAGACGTTTCAAAATTAAAGGTAGGCATTCAGAAACAAACACGGTTACATTAACTCGGATCTTGCTTTTCGTCTTTTATAGAGAGAAATGTTTGATGCTGTTGGTTTCTTATTGTCAAATTACAGTACACTTCAATTCGAAAACTTCAGATAAAGTTTTTATCAATGGACTCCTCCTTAAATACTTTCAAAAATATCATTGCTTTTTGTAACGAATTTGTTGTTGTGTATTTGTTTTGGTGTCAACGTTTGTTTGGATTAGGTTTATATTTTAAAACATGCGTAGCTTATAGTGTTAAATATGTACTGCAAAACTCTCGCCAATTCGCTATAGAAGATTCTCGAGAGTGAGAATCAACAATATGTGTATATACTTAAACGTTTAAATATAGTTCAGTATTGTTACGTAAGACTGAATTTTCTAGAAAAACCTTCTCACGGCTATAAACATAACCAACGCGATGCACCAAATAGATATCTATTATTAGTTTGCTTTTGCTATAGTCAGTGTGCTATAAACT